AGCTATTGGCGGTGAGCTGCTTCTCGCCTGGTTGTTGGTCCCCTGTCCCGACCCTTCCTTTTCACTTCCCGGGCGCTCATGCAGAAGCTACCCCTCCCGGTAAGATGGAGCGGCCCTGGGAAGCGTGGACTGGTCCTGGGAGAGAGAGCCGCTGGCTTTGGGAGTAACCCTGGTTCTGGTCCCGCCTATGCCGCTTGCGATGTCTGACCGTGGCCGTGTCATTTCTTCATTGACAAACTGTGTTCCCCTGGCATCTAGTGAATATTTAGGTAATGACACATGACCCAGTGGTGTGCTGATAAATGTTGAACAGCTCTGGGGGAAAAGGGGCGTATGCACATATAGAGGTACATAGGTTTAATAAAATATGCACATATACAGGTACATAAGTTTATCAAATTTAACTGATGATTTACAAAAAATAATAATATACAATTGAAAATTCCATGTAACCAAGAGATTCTCAAGAATACTATCATTGATTTTTGCCTCTTGAATGGGTAGCCAGCCTGTGGTTTCAGTTGACCAAGGAGTGCAATTATGACATGAATGTTGGTTAATATTTTCCTCTGTGTCAATGTAAGAGGAAAGTTCAATTTTGGGAGTGACTTCTTTGCTGAATCAGAAAGCAGTTTTCAAATACTGAAATATATGTTCTCAGTTTTTGTGCTATTCACAACGTAATAGCTATAGACATCACACATTAAATTTAAATCTGAATAATGAACATTTTCTCCATCACTTTCTTAAATCTAGATAATCAACAAAACAATAAATCAAGGTCCTGATTTGTAGGGTTTGCCAATTTCCATGGTGTAAATACTGCCGGCATGGCTAATTTCAATCTGCCAGCCTGACGTTACTGAACACGAAGTTAGAAACAGGTGATCAGTAGCATACCATTATGTAGTAGTTTCATCATGCATGTGCAATAACAAATCACCCCAAGAACATAGGTAAATAATAACTGAAATTATTAAGAAGTGATGAGTTTTGAGAATTTATTACCTTTGTCTTTAATATCACTTATTTAATTATAAGTTTGTATAATTTAATTTTTAACAGTGGCTGTGTTTAACAACTGGCTTGCAAAATTCCTGAAATTTTAATAATTGGCTTTCACAAGCCTGTATGAGCCAGCTCCATAGCACCACAGTTTTCTCATCTGCAAATTAGGGATAAGGATTGCTCCTTTGCTTACGTGCAGACATGTTGTGACGATCAAACAAGATCAAGCTTGTTGTGTAGAGGAGGTTGGACTGGAGACAGGGAGACCAGTTAGGAAACTATTGCAATCATCCCATGAAAAATGTTTAGGGCTGCAAGGGACAAAAAGGAAGGAGCAGCCAGCAGAACTTAGCAACTTTGGTACCTGAGGGTGCATTGAAGGGAAGAGGGTGGAGGGCCTGCTATGAGTCCTGCAGCCAGAGACACCTTTTTAAAATGGACATTTGTCCATAGTCCATGATTATAATGCTTCATGGTTTCCCATTTTTCTTAGGCTAAAGACAAAACTCCTTTAGGAGGCCTCTGATGTCCCCCTTGTCCTCTCTCCCCTGCAGTTCCCCTAGCCCTGTGTCAAGCTTGCCATATATGGCCATTGCACAAGCTATTCCCTTTTCTTGAAAGGCTGTTTCCCTCTCTTTTTGCTTAGTAAACTCCTATACAGTCTTCAGATTGAACTCACTCCTCACTACCTCAGGAAAATCTCCCTGCCTGGGTACTTCCTTCTCACCAAGCTCCAAGACCACACTCCTTTGTTGCATTTAGTTGCATAGATGTAATTTGTCATCGATCTGTGGGGTTATTTGATTAAAGTCTACCTTCCTTACTAAGCTGTAAGTTCCCTGAGGGCAGGGGCCACGTTTGCCCATCATGGATTTTCCAGTGCCAAGGATGGTGCCTGGAAGAGTAGACCCTTGATAATAAGCGGGAATGCTATTTTCAACCTCACGCCTTGTTAGAGGCTCCTGAAACAAATTCATCTCTAATTCAGCACAACAGAATTAATATGCTTCCTTGCCCATGAAGAAACTGAAGCTCAGTTATTCACCTAAAATCACATAGTTCAAAAAGGTGCAGTGGTATTCAAAACCAGCTCCAACTCCAAAGATTTTATTCTCTACTCTCTCTCTCTCTCTCTCTCAGCTACCTCTCAGAAGTCACTCAGGTTTCTGGACAAAAGAAAAGAAATTGCTATAGGATCACAAAACACCTGAGGCCTAAGAAGACCACCCAAGATCCCTGGCTGTGTCTGGAAAACTCTGGCCCCTGAATGCAAGGTCTGTAGCTCTGCAGCGCCCTCTGCTGTCCAGCTACTTTTTTGGCCCCAGAGGGAGGCTATGTCCACCACCTGGGGCATATCTCCACCTGCCCAGAGCACACAGGGGCACAAGGGAATGCACACCTGCTCTTTCTAATGTAGGTCAAGGAATGCTGCCTTTCTCCATGTCCTTAAATGTCCAGTCCTGTAGCCCAGATCCTAGAAAAACCATTGAAAATTAAGCTCCAAGCATAGGAAGTGTATCTTTGTATGAGTTGGATTGGTGTGTGTTTGTTGAGCAGGTTTTGTGTCTACACATACCTTTTTCACTGAGGGCTATATAAGGTGGTCCCTGCAGTTGGAGGATCCTAGTTTGAAAGGTTTGTGAAGAACCATTCAGAGACTCTAAACCAGTCCTGCGGTTCACTTAGTCATTCGGCAGTGAACCAGGCTTTGGGCGTGCAGTGATGAGTGAGATAGGCCTAGCTTCTGTCCCTCTGGAGCTTGCCATCTAGTTTGAGTCCTAATCATGGCATTTCCTGGATGAATGACCAAGAGCAAAGAACTAAACATCTTTGAACCTGTGTTTCATTTGTAAAATTAGGTCAATAATAATCCCCCACNCACACACACAGGGCTGTTGTGAGAATTAAATGGAGACTTACATGTGAATGCTTACACACTATACAAATGTTAGTTATTATTATGAAAAGCTTCTTGGGGTAAAAAACAACTTACTGTTATGTATTCACCCAGTGTGTTTTGTTGGCCTTCAACTAACCAACCATAACTGATAATACCAAGAAAGTGGAATGGGTCACTTGCCCACTCTGTCCCTCTCTCTGTTAGCACACAGAATGGGAGAGGCCAAGGGGAGAGCTATGGATGTGTGCTACAGGTCTGACCCAGTCACCACTCATTGGCTTTGTGGCCTTAAGAAGGTCACTTTGCTGACATTCAGTTTTAGTTTTAGTTTCCTTCTCTATTAGAGAACTGTCTGGGCTGTAGGCACTTCTAGTTCTGACACTCTAGGGATTCCGCTGGGGGTTTGTCCTGTAGCCCCCTGCTCTTCCCCCGACCCCCTACATTCCCACTTAGGGTTCCAAAGCAGGATTGTTTGCAGAGGCCACCTGTAAAGCAAGGGCAGTTTTTAGCAACCACCACCCATCCCTTCCTACATATACTCAGTGATCTGGGACATTAAACGTTGTGGGGGAGGAGAATGAGAAGGGAAGGAGCCAAAAGATGGCATGTATGTATGGGGCCAGATCAGCTGGGGGAATGGGGAGCATATCAGTGATGGAAAGGCGATGGAAGAGAGAGAAGAAGGCAGGGGCTTTGTTCTGTGGCTACCTGCAAGAATCCACACCCTTCTGATCCAGGCAGGCTGCCTGAGATGGTGCTAACTCTGGGCCTCCAGTTATCTGGTCCAACAGAGGGAAGGGCGGGAGCGGTAAGAAAACCAAGAAGAGCCAGAGAGGTTAGGCACAGTTTTCACAAAGAAAAAACGGAGACAGGGCTTAGGATGACAAAATGAAGGCGGAAGCAGAGGCAAAACTTCGTTCATTCTCTTCTCCCTGCCTCCGTCCTCCTCCTATCCCAGTGGCTGTGGTTGCTAACTCTGTGGCTGCTAACTCTGTGGTCCTGGGGCAGGGAGACCTGGTGGAAGACTCCCTTTCTGTCACAAACAACAGTGTGATCCTAGGGAAGTCCCTTCACCTCTCTGGGCTCAATCTACTTCTCCTTAATCCTTGATTAAGGTCTCTGAGGTTGAATAAGAGGGTGGTGGTGGTGGTTTGATGGGGCGTGGTAGGGGAGTCAGACCTCCGGGCTTGAGTCTCAACTCAAGGTGAGCAGCTAGGTGATCTTGGGAGAGTCTCTGAGCCTCAGCGTCTGCATCTGTGAAATGGGGATAGGAATAGTCACCATATGTAGTTGTGGGGAAGATTCATTGAGATAATGCACATGAAAAACACTTTATGAAGTGCCACAGTCTGTACAAAGATCGATTATGGTTATATTCGGCTCTCTTTTCCACCCTCGCCATCCCCAATCTCAAATTTCAGTTTGGCAGCCTGGTGTCAGAGGGGCACAGGCAGCCAGAGCAGATTGCCAGGAGATGCAGCTTTGTCCTTTATCATGCCCATCGCAATTGCTGCCAGGAGGCTAAGTGGAGCAGAGGGCTGGAGCGAGGGGCACAGCTCATCTGCGGTTGCTATGGAGCCCCATCCTGGATTTGCCTATTTCTCCTAATGGAGCAAAGGGCAGAAGGAGGGAGGGAGGGAGGGAGGGAGAATGCTGGTCCCTTCCTCTCCCCTCGAAAATGGGGGGAGGGAGCCTAGATACTGAATAAGAGGGGGAGGGAAGAGTGGTATACGGGGATTAAGAGGGTTTGCAATGGGCAACCACACTGAGAGAGGAGGGTGCAGAGCCCTCATTCTTATGTCCAGAAGCCAGCTAATGACGCTAGAGAGAATAAAAAACAGGCAAGACAGCAGAAGCTGAGTGATGAGGGAGAGAGGAAGAGAGAAAGTGAGGATAGGAGACAGGGAGGCAGGCAGCCCCAGACTGCGGCCAGCCTCTGCCAGCGCCCTCCTGAGCCACCAAATCCCCCATGCAGCCTGGACCCCAGGGTCCCTGAGGCCTGCACCAAGGATGGGCACCAGGGAGGTGGTGATGCACCCTCCTGTGTTGGGGCTGCTGGGCTGCTGTCTCCTCTGTGGTTGGGCTCTGGGGGATTCGTGGCCCCTCCGCTCTCTGCCCCCGCTGTCCTCCCAAGTCAAGGCAGGATCTGTACCCATGTGGGTGACCCCAGAGGGTGCGGAAGCAGCCCTGGCTTTTCTCTACTCTGGAGATGCCCAACAGCTGTTACGGACTAATTGCAGTGAACGCTATGAAGCCCAGGGGGCAGGAGCCAGACCAGGGCTCCTGCCAATCCTACAGAGGGCAGCGGGCACCCTTGCCCAGGCTGCCAATTTCCTCAACATGCTTCTACAAGCCAACGACATCCGCGAGTCCAGTGTGGAGGAGGATGTGGAGTGGTACCAGGCGCTGGTCCGAAGCGTGGCTGAGGGGGACCCAAGGGCATACCGGGTTTTGCTAACTTTTAACCCTCCGCCAGGGGCCAGCCACCTGCAGCTAGCCCTACAGGCCACCCGGACGGGGGAAGAGACCATTCTCCAGGACTTGTCTGGGAACAGGGTGCAGGAGGAGAGCCTAACCGGGGCCCTGGACACCCCTGCCCTGCAGAAACGGGTGCTGACTAATGACCTAGGAAGCCTCGGAAGCCCCAAGTGGCCACGGGGAGATGGCTATGTGGGGGACATGCAGCATGTGAAGCTGTCTCCTCCCTTCCTGGAATGCCAGGAGGGCCGGCTCCGTCCTGGCTGGCTTATCACACTCTCAGCCACCTTCTATGGACTCAAGCCAGACCTCAGTCCGGAGGTCAGGTAAGTGGGTTTGTGCAGGATTCAGTGCATTTGTAGGTATGAGGGGGTGGGGGGCCCAAGTCCAGCCAGCTGTGCATGGGCCATTTGGCATGAACATGTATGTCTCGGGGGCACTGATATGTGTATTTGCATTCAGCGGTGTGTAGTATTTGCAATTGACTTTGCAAATCTGTAACTACAAGTGTTAACATACAGGTGTGAGTGTACATACTGTGTATGAATCAGTCCATTTACACATAGGTAGACACACATGTGTATGTACAGATGTGTGGATATAGCCAGGCATAGATCTTGGTCCCCAGGTCTGAGTAGTGGGTTTAAGAAGCAGGAGAGGGCTTGGTGTGGATGACAGTGACAATCCATGCACCAGGCAGGTGTCTTGGAGGAGCCAGGTAGGCATTCCAGGAGTGAAACCCACTGCTCTCTAGCAATCCAGATTTTTAAAAGGAGGCTTCTCCAAGGGAAGGAAACTTCTTGGGTGCGTATGTGGGGGGCGGCTTTGGAACCATTGCCCTTTCTGTCTAGGAGTTGGCCGGGTCCCCAGGGTCACTCCCAATGGCTATATTCTTACATCAAGTAGATTCCACTGTCCTATCTGTCCTGACCCAGGAGCCTGTGACACTCCTCAAATAACTGACTCCCCTCAACCAGAGTAAAGAAGTGATTGGGAGTCCTGATGGGGAGGAGGCAGCAAATGGGCACAGTACTTCAAGATACTCAACAATCAAAATTGTTTTTCCAGCTATGTGATGCCCATTCACTGTCCCCAGCAGTGTTCCCCTGCTCATGGCAGAAAGCCTGGCTCTCTGTCAGATTTTTCCCCATTCAGCCAGTGCAGGTTTGGGAGCCCTTGGGCCAGGCGGCTGTAACTCTGGGCCCCTTCATTCCATATCTCCTTTGCTGTGATCAATTCAGACTTGGTTTGGGCAGAGTGAGGGGTGATTAATAGTTGAGCTCCGTGTGTGTGTGTGTGTGTGTGTGTGTGTGTGTGTGTGTGTGTACATGCAGTGGGGAAGTGTGAAAATCCACTTCAGACAGATCATCAGAGCCCCAGCTCCCACATGTCTTGACATGCCCCCTCCCTCTGCCCATTGATAGAAACCAGGAAATGCTAGGATGTTGAAAAGCTGAGGGATGGTGAGGGGAACAACCTAGGGGGAGAGGAATTATTGCCCAGAGACTGAAGGTTAGTAACACTGGAGAAAGGGAATGCATGTGTGCCTTCTCTCCACACACTGCAGCCACTGTGCTCAAGTTTCAGAGCTTGTGTTGCCCATAGTCTGGGGCACAAGCACACATGTCTACCTTGGCATCCTTCGCTGTGCCCTTAACTGCAAATTCACTGCCCTAGGGGGCAGGTGCAGATGGACATAGATCTTCAGAGTGTGGACATCAATCAGTGTGCCAGTGGCCCAGGCTGGTACTCTAACACGCACCTGTGTGATCTCAACAGCACCCAGGTAAGAATAAGGGGAAGCACAGGGTCCTGCCTCCCTTGCCCTTTCCCACCACTGCCACCACCCAGCTCCTAGGGGCAGCTGACAAAGGTGCACCAGCCTGTCAGGGCTTCAGGGGAGTTCCTAGTGACGAGATAAAGATGAGCCGCCAGGCTTTGTAAAAGTGAGGACACCCCCACCCTCCACCGAAGACGGCCACTCTCATTCCTTTGAAATCTGGGTGCCCCCCTGTCCTCCCTTCTGGCACTGGTGCTCCAGGATCCTTCCCCAGGACCATCTCCTGAGCCCCTATTAATCATCCCTTTCCCTTCTCCTCGACCGCACTGTCATATATATCAACGGAGCTCCACGCTCCTGGCCCACAAAGGATGCTCATTTGGTGTTTGTTGAACAAAGAGGAATTGCTGATTAGAATGGGGGAGGACTCTTAACCAAAGGAGCTTGAAGAGCTGTGGGACTGGTTTAGGTGATGGAGCCCAGGCCAGATGCTGGCAGAATCAAAGCCACAGATGCAGAAGAAGCTGGATAATGGAAAGCAATGGCTGGTAATCCTGTAAGTCCAGTACTGGGGAACTGGGAGGCCAGTGCACTAATCCGCTCCAGAGTTACACTGGCTGCGTGCTTGTTCCTGAGCTGAACCAGAGCCAAGCCGAGCCCAGCAGCCTGCTGGGAGGTGGGGCAGGTTTGGGCATCTGCTGCTCTTCAGGACACATGTGTTGGGAGCTAAACGTCCAGGGATGGAGAAGGGCTCCTATTGTCCAGTGCGCTTTAAAACCCAGCCACACTCACGTCCCTGGGCAGGTATTTGACTGTGCAGACGGTGGCAGGAGCAGAGCATATCTCAGTGGTCCAGGCAAGAGGGGAAGCTAGGCCACGATTTCAGAGGCTCCGCCCTCGAACCTTTCTAGGTGACTGTTGGGCTAGATATGGAATCTCCCAGGGTTCACCTCCTTCCTCTGCCTCATGCTGTCTGCTCCTAGCCACTCCTTGCAGCTCATCCATGGGCTCATCGGCCCCTCCTGGCTCTGAGGTCTGCTCTGTCCCCTGCTGGGTAAACATTAATGGGCGGAGGTGGAATAAAGAGTTGGCCTTGGCATCCCACCAGCTTGGCATTAGCCTGGCATTAGGGCTGGGGAAAGCAGTCCTGTGCCGATGCCAGATGGCCCCTGACAGAGGAAGCAGCTCCTCCGTGGGAGCCTTTTCAACCCACCTGTGTGCCAAAGAGGAAGGATGATGGGAACTCTTTGAAGCAGGATGTAGGCACACAGGTGTGGTTGGGCTCAGAGTTCTCCCTACTTGCACTCCCCCTGACACCCCCCCCAGCAGCTCACTCTAGCTGGAAATGGGACCTGTGAGGTCACTGCCGGGTTGAATAAAAGGGTGATCTAGTGCCATACTCTTTGATTGGGGGTCTCTGAGAAGAGAGGCAGGGAGGGTGGGGTAGAGTAGGATTTCCATAGAGGGAGGGAAGCCTTCCCTGGGACTAGGGAGGGCTTCGGGTGAGCTCCCTAGTGTGGACCCAGGTGCAGTGATAGGAAGGTAGATGGACCCTCCATCTCTTCCCAGGAGGGAAAGCCCCACACAGATACTTACAGTGTTTGTCATCCCACAGTGCGTTCCTCTGGAGAGTCAGGGCTTTGTCCTTGGCCGCTACCTCTGTCGCTGCCAGCCTGGCTTCTATGGGGCAAGCCGCTCTGGGGGTATGTAACTGTGGTGAGGGCTAAGCAGGCATTTTATAGGCTGGGCTGGTTGGAGGGGGGCATCTGGGGAAGGCAGAATGGGGTGAGACACCGGGAGGAAGCCAGTGGGCCAAGGGCAGAAGGTAGAGAGAAGCAGAAGAGGCAGGCAGGATCCAGTTTGGGGGTGTCTGTGCCTTCTGAGAATGAACCCATAACATGCCGATGTGCTGCCAGTTGACCTTTCAATGAGCCCGGGCCTGACATCACCTCTTCCTGGTAACCCTGCCCTCCCCTAGGACTACCCACTTCCTCCTTCCTCCCCTCTGAGCCTATCCCAGGGGCCACCATAGGAGAGCAGGGAGAAGCTGCAGTGATCACTGGGAGAAAAGACAGAGCTCAGTATGCCTCAGCCATGCCCCTCTCCCCTCCCCCATCTTGTTCTTCATAGGGTTAGAGGAGAGTGCTGCCCCGCCTCCGGGGCAATTTGGGTCCCCACAAGGCCGCTCCGGGAGGCTGCTGCGGTGCCAGCCATGTGCTGAGGGCTGCACTAGCTGCATGGATGCCACACCTTGTCTGGTGGAGGAGGCCCTGGCACTGCGGGCAGCAGTGTTGGCCTGCCAGGCCTGCTGCATGTTGGTCATCTTCCTGAGCATGCTGTTCTCCTACCGCTGCCGCCAGAGCAAGGCAAGGAAGGCCCCACACCTCTCTCCTGCACACATGTCCTGCCCATCTTGAGTCCCTAGCATTAACTGGAGACCAGAGGCTACCTAAGTCTAGAATTTGGGAGAAGTGGTCTTGAGTCTTAATCTAATTCACTATGTGACATTAGGCAAGTGGCTTCACCACCTTAGACCTGTTTCCTCACCTGTAAAATGAAGGCATTAGACTTGATTCAGTACAGTGAGTAGGTACTCGGGCAAGTGATCCTGGACTCTTATGGAGCTCCCAGGTGGAGGAAGCAGACATGTAAATAAAACAACAGCGCCGCAAGACAGAGGCGAGGATGGAGGTAGGAGTGTGTTGGTTTCTGTGGCCATGCAGAGAAAGGACCCAGTTGTCCTGCCTGAGCTGGCATGGGAGTGACCTTCTGTGACATTTGAGCCAGGCTTGAAGGTCACCTGGATGGTTACCGGGCAGAGACCAGGGTATCTAAAAAAGGGAGCAGTCTGACCCAAAGCTTGGAGGAACACATGAGGTCCCTTCTAGCTCCATAGCTCCAGCAGCCTCTGATCTGAGCCCAGGTCTGCAGCAAGGCCCAGGCTGGGGCTGGGAGAGGAATAGGGCCGGCGGGGGTGGGGGCTTTGTGAAACCTGGGCCTTAGCCAAGCTTAGTGCCAGTGAAGCTAAGCGCCTGTGGTGCGAGTAGGGGCGTGGCTGTGGATAGAGGATGGAGCTAAGGTTACAGGGTAAAGCCTCCACCCAGGGCCACTGAGTGACCCCTGAAACAGGCCTCAGAGCCTCCTGTGCCATCGTCCCTGCTTTATCCTCCCACTGCTCTACTTACACACCTTTCTCATTCCTGGGTTCACAGAAGATCTGGGCGTCTGGAGTGGTCCTGCAGGAAACCATCCTTTTTGGGTCCCTGCTGCTCTACTTTCCTGTGAGTTTGTGGCTAGAGGCTGACCCCCACCTCCCAGGATCCCCACAGTCCCAACCTGGCACCCTCCAAACCCCAGAATGCTTCCTTCTCTCTGCCCTCTTGGGGGAATTCAGAGACCTCCAAATTCCCCTACTCAGATTCACAAATGGCAGGCTGGCCTAGTGAGCTCTGGAGCCAAACAGTCCAGGCTCAAAAGAGTTCTATGACCCGCTGTGTGACTTAGGACAAATTACCTAACTTCTCTGATACTTAAGCTGCTCCTCTGCAGAATGGAAGTGGCGAGGCTGTTAGGAGGATCAGCAGTGTGTTTAGCATAGGCCTGGTGCATAGTGGAAGTGCAGTGGAGAGCAGTTATTTTTACCCCCTCTTCCCCAGGTCTTCATCCTGTACTTCAAGCCCAGCGTATTCCGCTGCATCGCTCTCCGCTGGGTCCGGCTGATGGGTTTTGCCATTGTCTATGGCACCATTATTCTCAAGCTTTATAGGTAGGGGCTGGGGCAGACCTTGCTCTCACGCTGCTCACTCCCGGGCATCCCAGCTCATTGATGGAATGGAGTTCTTCACAGTCAGACCCTTACCACTCCACTCCCCTGTGCCCCCAAGACCTGCCTCCATCACTTATAGTCCTCCCCTCCAAATGTAATTTTTCTAAGGGTGAGGAGGCAGCAAACCATGGAAGGGATGGGAGGACAGATATGTGTGGAGGGGAGGGGAGCAATGGACAGAGACAGAGCCCTGGCCTCCCTCCTTTCACCCACCATCTTCACCCCTGTAGAGTGCTCCAGCTGTTCCTGTCTCGAACGGCCCAGCGGGGCCCCCACCTGAGCAGCGGATGGATGCTGCGGCATTTGGGTCTGCTCCTGCTGCTAGTGATGGGTTTCCTGGCTGTGTGGACGGTGGCAGTCCTGGAGAGAGGCGTCCTGCACATGCCCCTGGTGATCCGAGGCCACACTCCCGCAGGCCGCCACTTCTCTCTCTGCCACCACGACCGCTGGGACTATATCATGGTTGTGGGTAAGTTGCTTCCGCCGAGTCCAGTCCCACTCTGGCCCCGGGCTCTGCACCCCTGGTGGTCCTCTGGTCCTGCTCCTCCTGCCTTGTACCCAGACCCCTGGCCCAGGCCTCCCCCGAGCAAGCCCTGCAGAGAAAGGGGAGGCCTGGCTGCTGAGGCGGTGCCGCCTCACCTCTGGCCGTCCCTGGTTCCCTGCAGCCGAGATGCTGCTCCTGTGCTGGGGCAGCTTCCTCTGCTATGCCACCCGGGCTGTGCCCTCAGCTTTCCATGAGCCGCGCTACATGGGCATCGCCCTGCACAACGAGCTGCTGCTCTCTGCTGCCTTCCACACGGCTAGGTGAGGACGAGCACACCTACCCACTCCTCCTCTCCCCCCCCACCCACCACTTCTCACCTCTGCCAGATGAGGGTACCCCCGTCTCATGGCCATCCATACATCACTGCTGTGCCTCAGCAAGGTGAAGAAGGCCCCCTACCTGTAGCGCCCTCCCTACCCCAGGTGCCCTTCCTGCACCTCACGTCTCACCCAGCGCACAAGAGGAAGCTCCCTCCCACGCATGCTCAGCTCTCCCTGACACCTCAGCTGTCCCAGCAGCACGCCTGCTGTGTCTAGAAGGACCTGGCCCTGTGGTGGAAGCAGAATCCACCCACAGGATGGTCTATAACAGAGTTGTGGAGCATGAGTCTGTGCCATAGGCAGCCAGGGAAGGTGAGCTGGAGTAGGCTGGGAGGGCTTCTTGGTGGTGGGGGCTACCTCCTTGAGGTCGGACCTACATCCTAGAGAAGGCAGGAAGAAAGAAGAGCGCCCTCTTCACCCCACCCAGCACCTTTGCAGAGGTCAGGGCTGGGGCTGGACAGGAGAGCTGGTGAGACAGGTGAGGGGCAAGAGGCCACTTCCGCCCACAGCTAAGGAGCCCCCTTCCGCCGCACTCTCAGGTTTATGCTGCTTCCCTCTCTGCACCCGGACTGGACCCTCCTTCTCCTCTTCTTCCACACCCACAGCACAGTGACTGCCACCCTGGCTCTGATCTTCATCCCTAAGGTAAGTCTTCCCCCTCTGGAATGTAAGGCAGACCCCCCAGCCCCTTTGTAAGGAGCACTGTGGATCTGCTGCCACTGCAGCGCCCTCTCTGAATGGCGCTGAGGATGACACCCTGTGGGTGAGTGGGCTCAGATCAACAGGGGCCTGAAGCAAGGAGCCCTCTTGGGGGAGAGTGGGGGCAGGAAGCTACTGTCTCTCTGCCTCTAATCCCTGGGCAAGGGAAGTAAGAGCTAGGGCTGGAAGGGTCCTTGTAACACAGTTTGAAGGTTGGCAGACTCTAAAAATCAACTCAGAAGTTGTTACAGAGATGTGGGGGAGCTGAAGGACATGGCTAGGAATTGCAGGGCAGGGGGTTGAGACCCGCCCCTCCACCCCGGTCCTCTGGTCTTTGAGCTAAAGATCAGGGAGGATGAGCAGAAGCAAAACTCTCTGACCCCTGAATTTTGAATGGGGGTGTGTGTGAAGATTCATGAAATAAAGATGTATTCCATGGGGCAGGTGGAGGAGGTGTGAATGGAGCCAAAGTGAGTTTGTTTTTTTTAATGAGGGAGTTGAACCGGCAACCTTGCCGTTATGTTAAGAGCGCACGCTCTATCCACTGAGCCATCCAGGCAGCAGCTCAGCTTAAGGTGCCGAGTTCAATCCCAGCCGTGAGTGGGTGTAGCCCACCATCGAACAGGCAATCTTGTCATTAGGAGCACGCGCTCTCACCAGCTGAGCCATCCTGCCAACTTGGGCGCAGCTTGGGCGAAGCTCACTGGCCCATGTGGGAATCGAACCAATGACCCTGTTGCTCAGAGCTCATGCTCTTAAGCAAACTCGTAACCAACTGAGCCACCCGGCCCGCCCCAAAAGTGAGTCTTTTCTTTTTCCCAATCGTGCCCATTTCCCTGGCCAGTTCAGGAAGCCGGGGGCTCCTCCCCGAGAGGAGATGGTAGATGAGGTGTATGAGGATGACCTGGACCTGCAGCGCTCAGGCTCCTACTTCGACAGCAGCACTGCCTCAGCCTGGAGCGAGCGCAGCCTGGACCCCGGAGACATTCGGGTATGTGCCACCCTCCCCTCCTCCTTTTGGTGCTAGTTTTCAGGGACTGGGCAGGGAGCGTTACTGCCCTGCCCCTAGCTTTCTCTCTTTCTGAGACTTGCCTCCCTGCCTTCTCCACCATTGCTCTAAGCTGCTTCCCCTGACTCTTTTCAAAGGAGGCCACACGCCACCCAAGTGAGACGACCCCAAAAGTCCCAGAACCCAGAGCCCTGAGGCTCAGGGGACTTGGCAAGTTAGAGGCATCGCCCGTGTCCCCCACTCCCATGCAGCAGGGGCATCATGACGGGCAGATTAAGAAGCCCCTGAGTCCCCAGCATACTGAGACAGTTGGTGACTCTAGGGTCAGTTGGGGTTGGGCAGTTCAGGCAGGGAATAGCTGCTAAGGGTTTCCACACCAGGACCCCTTCCCCTGGACCTGGCCATCTTAGAGAAAGGAAGTTCTTCCTGAGTCTTACATCGGGAGAGCATCCTTACTCTTATTTGTCATCTTAGGGGATCATTATAGTCACGGGAACCCTAATAAGAGGCTCAATGGGTAAAAAATGAGACCTAGCGGTCTACCCCATTGTTTTATAAAATCTACAGGGTAGGAACAATCCCAGGAAGCCATTTTGCCATCTCTTCCACTTCCACTGGGGCCCACCGCTACGCCTGAGTTGTTTATACCTCCCAATTGTCCTTGTCCCAAATGCCTCTGCCTCTCTTTCCCCATGTGTCTTCCTTACCCTCTGAGCTCTGCCTGTCCTGCCTCCTGGTCCCTGGATATAGGCTGAACTGAGACCCCAATCCAGCAGGGAGGCCACTGCCACAGCCACACCTCCCCTGCAGAGCAGCAGCCAATCTACTCTCCCTATGCTGGCTCTAGGGAGAACTCCCAAGTATAAAAGAGTTTCAAAGCCCCATTCCATCATTTACACCTGAATATGGCACTTTTCATGCCCATTAGTCCCATCAATCTCATATAATCCTTTTAAAGAAGCTAACACTAGGCAGCTAGATATCATTATTTTATAGAAGCAGGGGTTCAGAGAAGTCAGGAAAATAATCTCAAGGCACATGATGGGTCAGCAGACTCAAACCCAGGTTTCCTGTCCCCGAAGCTGGTGATTTCCCACAAAACCACAGTGCCCCAGAGATGGGAGTGTGCACTGCATCCCCAGGGCTCAGTGGGTCCGGCTGGGAACCAGGCTGGGGCTGGTTTTGCAGGAATGGAGAGATGAAGGTTGAGAGATTTGAAAGCCTGGGAGGGACACAGCTTGGTGGGAAAGAGATCCCCCAGAGAAAATGGTCTACATAAGGGCTGAGGGGGAGAACAGTGCAGCCAAGGGGTGGAGAGGCTTAGCCCACCCACCTGTGTCAGCTTTGCTCTCCTTGCCCCTCCCCCGCATAGGACGAACTGAAAAAGCTCTATGCCCAGCTAGAGGTCCATAAAACCAAGGAAATGGCTGCTAACAACCCCCACCTGCCCAAGAAGCAGGGCAGCTGGCGCCAGGCGCTGGGCCGCTCCTTCATGAGGTACCTGGCTGAATTCCCCGAGGCCCTGGCCTGGCAGCACTTCCGGGACTCGGGCTCCCCGGCCCGCAGCAGCCTTCCTGGCTCCTCCCGCCGTCGACTTCTCAGTTCCAGCCTCCAGGAAGCTGAAGGGCCACCAGCCCTGCGCAAGTCCCGAGGCACCTGTGACCATGACCACCACAGGGAGCAGGACTCGCCTCTCCTTGACTCACAGCTGAGGAGGAAGCTGGCCAAGAAGGCCCCACGGGCAGAGAGCCAGGAGTCAGTGGAGGGGCCACCTGCCCTGGGCTTCAGGTCAGCCAGCGCCCACAACCTGACGGTGGGAGACAGGCTCCCCAGAGCCCGGCCTGCTTCCCTGCAGAAATCGCTCAGTGTCATGGCCGGCTCCAGGGAAAAGGCCCTGCTTGTGGCCAGCCAGGCCTATCTGGAGGAGACCTACCGGCAGGCAAAGGAGCGAGAGGAGAGAAAGAAGACAGAGGCGGCCTTGGTGAGCCCAGTTCAGAGGCCGTCAGCCAGGAGGCTGGAGCGAGCACGTGGGGCCCCTCTGTCAGCTCCACCTTCCCCTGCCAAGAGCAGCAGCATGGACACCTCCTATGCCTCTGGAAAGCTCCAGGAGGAGGCTGCAAGAAAGCTGCCTCACCCACCCATCCAGCACCAGGTCTCCACACCAATCATGGTCCTGTCTGGAGCCTGCCTGGGAGAGTCAAGGATGCTGGCTCCCACCTCCATCTTGGCTCCAGCTCTGACACCAGCTCCAGCTCCAGCCCCAGCCCTGGCCCCGGCCCCGGCCCTAGCACCAGTCCCAGTATCCCCTCGAAATCCCAGCTTACTCGCCTACATCTGCCCATGGGAGAATGCAGAACTGCCAGTCAAGAAAGAAAATGTGGCTCACGAAGGCCCCTCTGGGCCAGAGCGAAGCAACCACGCCCCTGCCCCAGCTCGGGCCAGACTCTGGAGGGCCCTCTCTGCTGCAACAGAGAAAAGGGGTGCTGGGGAGAATGGGATGGACCCAGAGGACAGGCGTCTCCAGGGGGAAGCTGATGATGTGGATGAGGACAGGCCCAAGGTCTTCTCTAAATCCCACAGCCTCAAGACCCCTGCTCAGCAGGGTTCTGTGCGCAGCCTGGGACTGGCTATCAAAGCTTTGACCCGTTCTCGGAGCACATACAGAGAGAAGGAGAGTGGGGAAGGGAGTCCTGAGAGGGAGAAGAGCAGAGCTTCCGGAGAGGGTGTGGGGTCATGCCCCAGGTCCCCCAGGCTAGGCGGGCGCAAGGTGGTGAGCAAGCAAGCTGCCCTTGCCCCCTGTGAAGATGAAGAGTCCCTCCAGAACCAACAGAATGCTCACACCAGCAGAATGCTACGCGTCTGTCACCAGGAGGGCAGCAGGGAACAAGAAAACACAGGCAGGAGGACATCCCAGGGTCAAGGGGAGGGGAGAGTTGAGAGAGCAGGTAAAACAGGGCCTGCCACACTGAGGCAAGTCTGGCAGGGCACAGATGCGGACAAAAATGCTGAGCGAGCGCAGCAAGCCCCTGTAGGGAGGCGGGAACTGCTCAAAGCTGACCTCCAGCCCCTGGGCAGTGCTGACTGCAGGGTGGCAGAGGTATGCCCCTGGGAAGTCACTGACTCGGAAAGCAACAGGGCTGAAATCTGCCCCTGGGAGGTGAGTGAAGGAGCCACTGAGAGGAGGGCATTAAGACAAGATCTGGACAACTCCCAAGAAGAGAGGGGGAAAACCCCAGAAGAATCAGAGCCTAAAAATGAGGCTGCCATTACTCGGCAAAAGCCAGAGAGGCTGGTCAGGGGGCAGGAGGCGGTGTGTCCCTGGGAGAATGCGGATCCCAGGGGTCTGTCCCCTCAGTCAGCCCCTCAGGGCTCTGAAAGAACCAAGGGCGTGTCTGAGGCAGGGGGCAGAGTGGAGGCTAGAGAGGTGGAGAAACATGGGCAGGAAGCCACAGGCCCAGAAGCTTGTACACTTGAGGTCACCAAGGCAGAAATCTGTCCCTGGGAGGCAAGTGGAGGAGAGAAGGAGAAACCGTCCCAGGAAGGAATGAAGAAGCTCCCCCAGGAAAAGCAGAAAACCCCCAAGAAAGCGACCTTCTGGAAAGAACAGAAACTGGGCGGAGACTTGGAGTCTCTTTGTTCATGGGAGAGGACTGATTTCCGTGGCCCCTTAGCAGTCTCCACTGAGGCCCCAGGAACCCCCAAGTGCTCGGGGAGTTGGAGCGGTAGCCTCGCGGAGGTGTGTCCATGGGAGGCAGGAGAGGCTCATGCTATCGAGAAAGCAGAGATCTGTCCCTGGGAGTTGAGTGATGAGGTAGTGGGAAAGGAAATACTGCATCAGGGGACAGGTGGAGAACCTCTCCAGGAAGAAGGGCAAGCCTCCAGAAAAGGGCTCTTTGGAGAGATGGGGGAACGAACTGGGAAAGCAATGCAGATATCTAGTCCACAGCAGGAGTCGGTGTGCCCCTGGGAGAGCACAGCCCCTGGGCACTCCAGCTCATGTCTAGACAATTCCTCATCCAGAGCTGGTGGCCAACTCCTGAGCAATGGAGGAAGCAGAGCCACACAGGTATGTCCACAGGAAGACCTCAGGCCACAGGTAAAGGCAGTAACACCTGCCAAGGCAGAAATCTGTCCCTGGGAGGTAAAAGAAAGAACAACAGAGGACTGGACATCAGGGCAGGCACCCAGAGGAGGAGAGTCTCACAAGGAAAAGGAGAAAATGTCTGGAACATCAGGAATCCAGGATGTCACAGCTTGGGAAAAGCCTGAGGGACTGATCCAAAAGCAGGAAGCAGTCTGTCCTTGGGAGAGTGTGGACCCTGGCAGCTTCTCCGCACAACCAGGTCCTCGAGACACAGGTAGACCCAAAGCCAGTTTCCAGGTGTCAGGCAGTGTGGGTAGCAAAACTGCTGCCATCTGTCCATGGGACTTGAAGGATACCTTGCCTGCTGAGAAGGCAGAGATCTGTCCCTGGGAGGTCAGTGCTGGAGCAGGGGAGGAACAGGCTTTGGGAGTTGAGGCCATTAGGAAATTGCCAAATGTTATCAGAGACGCTTCTGCCGATTCTGGAGCCGGTGAGATAGCTGTTACTGCTCCAAAGAAGCAGGAGAGGCCAGCCCAGGAGCGGAAGGTGGCCTGTCCACGGGAGAGCGTGGATCCAGGGGGCTCCTCTCAGCATTCAGACATTGTGGACAGTGACGGGCTGAAAGCTAGATTGCAGGAACTGGAGCGTGTGGAGTCCAGGCCAGCTGAGGTGTGTCCCTGGGAAGTGGAGGAAGTGTCTACCAGTGAAAAAGCCAAGATCTGTCCCTGGGAGGTGAATGAAGGAGCTACTAGAAAGGGCCTAGAACAAGAGCTGGAGAGTGATTCAGCAGGGCAGAGGGAGAAAAGTCTAGAAAGGGGGAGGGTCACCTCCCTGGAAGACCTATCAAAAAAGGAGACAAAACTGAGTCAAGAGCAGGAAGCTATTTGTCCTTGGCAGGACTCGAGGGAACCCTCTGTTCAGGCGCCTGTGGTCTCAGACTCATGCAGCAGCATGAGCAGCACAGCGGCAGAGGGGCCTTCCTTGGAAGTCAGTGACAAGGCAGCAGAGAAAGACCTGACACAAGACCCGAAAACGGGCTCCCTCCAAGAACACGTAACCCGAGAAAAAGCTCCATCTTCAAAAGCAGAAGTCACTACCAAAGATGGAGGAAAAGCAAGCGGTGAGCTACAATCTATCTGTCCATGGGAGAGCATGGCCCGGGCAAGATCTTCCACCCACCTCGGTGGTCAGTACTCTGACCAACAGAAAGCTGGCTCCCAGAGACCGGGCAGTGTTGAGGGCAGGCGCGCTGAGGTGTGCCCATGGGACGTTCCTGCTCCGGATGCTCATCAGCTTGACAGCAGCACCAAAGCAGAGGTGACTGCAAAAATCCCTGAGAAAGGGGTGTCAAGACAGGGCGGAAAAGGGGAACCTCAACAGGAGAAGGGGCAAGACCCAGAAAAACCAGAGCGCAAAGTTGTGGCAGTTCAGGAAAAGCCAGAGAGGGCAGATGGGAAGCAGGAGGCTCTATGTCCCTGGGAGAGTCAAGGTAGCGGTGGCGGTCTCTCTCCACAAACAGCTCCACAAGCTTCTGACAGAAGCAAAGGCAGTTCTGAGGTAGCAAGCAGTGTGGGATCCAGGGCAGCAGAAGTGTGTCTGTGGGAAGCGGAAGAGGCACCCTCTGCCAAGAAAGCAGAAATCTGCCCTTGGGAGGTGAGTAAGGCAGCAGCAGAGGAAGGTGGCCCAGAACAGGATGTGGACAGAGAACCCCAAGGGCAAGGAGAGCTGTTCCTTCAAAAGGAAGCGTCTGGAAGGACTGAAGAACACTTTTCAAAAGCAGCAGCAAAAGGCAGCAGAGAGCAGGAGGCAGTCTGTCCCTGGGAGGGCACAGGTTCTAGGGGACTCTCCCCCCAGCCAGATGCTCTGGACACTGACCAATCCAAAGTCAGTCCCCACGAAGCAAGCAGTGTGGGGAGCGGGATGGCAGAGCTGTGTGAATGGGAAGTCACAGATCCAGAAGGAAATAAAATCATGGGCACCATGGCAGACATCTGTCCTTGGGAGGAAACTGGAGCCCTATCTAAGGAATCTGGCCTCCCGGCTTTAACAGCAACTCGGACAGAAATATTTTTCCCCACAGCCCCTGAGAACCCACCATGCCTTTCAGTCCAGAGACCTCTAGGTGGTTTCCTTCCAGAAAGCAAAAGCCCCCGCCCCAAAGTGAGCAAGCCAGCCAGTACTTTTACTCTGGAAGGTGTCAGAGAATTACAAGGACCTTCAGAACTTGGGCCAAGTCTCCAAGAAGCTGAGGCTCAGAAGTCTTCTTCCTTAACTGAAGATCAAGAAGTGGCTTCCAAAGCTCCACATCAAGATTTCGCCCCTCCAACTGTCTATCCTTGGGACTGGGAGTAACAACTCCCAGTCTGAACTTATGTAAGGTCAAACATCAGGTGGTTGGCTTTCAGGAGCCAAGGTCCTTTCCAAGTCCTAGGTGTTCCCAAAAAGCTGAGTCAAAGACACTTGGCCACTTCCTTTCCCCAAGAAGGCCGGGAAGTCAATTGCCTTGAAGACAAATTGTACAAGAAGGGTGCAGCTCAGACCACAACAGGAAGTCCCACCCTCTCTTTACTTCCAATTCTTCTTCCTGCTGCAAGGAACAAAGGCCAGACCCTCTGCTTCTAATGTAACCTCCCATCCAGCTAGAGTACTCAACACAAGCCATCTGTGTCTGGACACTCACTGGAAAAGCCAATGTTAGGGATAAAAGAAAGCAGTGCCCCACCCACATTTTCTCATAGGTCTGAAGTCTACAAAGGACCATTTTTCAAGAAGACAAAATCACACAAGGCATTGGCAACATAGGGACTGAAGGTCATAGAAGGCTATAGAGGTCACCACAGGAAGCTTAAGAAGCCACTTAATTCAAGTTCAAAGATAAATCAAGAAAAACTTAAATGGCTCAGAGGTGCCTAAAATGCCTTAAATACCTTGTCATTTTGACTTTGGATCTCCAGTTTCTGTTTTATCGATCCTCGTACCTGTTCTGCTTGACTACTGAAGCAGAGCCAATCAAGCACTCTTACATCCATATCATCTGGCATCCAGAGCAACATCAGAGACAGAGCAGAGAAGGAAAGGCAATGGTTCTAGGTCCTTCCCCCACCCCCACCCTCACTGGCCAAGGCCAAGTTCTCCCTTCCAGACACCGTCTCCTATTTTAAGGAGTATGCCTCTTGCTAGCCTTTTCAGAATGCCTCCCTCCCCTTCTTCCTGCTCCATCTTTTGTCAGTCTCTAGAGTTCATCTCACTGGTTCATTCTCCTCCTCCTAGCCTTTCAGTGCTGTCATCAAAGGGACCCTGTTGTCAATACAACTGGAGCCGGGAGAATCTCTGGTTGTGATGTGAGAACCACTCCAAATCACTTGCTCAGTAACAAGAGGCCCACATCAGTCTCTTTCCCAAGGAGCCTGAGAAAGAAAAGAGGTCCTGTTTACAGCCAGCACTATAACTGCCTTCAGAAAGAGTAGTGCTATGGGCAGGTTAGAGGCCTGCGGGTTGGGGAAAGGGCATCACGTAAACACAAAGCCTTCTTTCTTAGGGAGTGCTCTGGTTCTTAGCTCGGCTCTATTCTCTCAAGTCAGTTCAAGCTCCCCTTACTTAAGCAATCCTAGATTGTAACAGCGTGCTGGTTAGATGACACTACTAGAGGGAAATAAGGAAGGAGAAAAACACTGGTCAAAGAAGTCCCCGGATCAGGAGCGGTGAGTGGGGGTGGAAACAGGCTAAACATGGCAGAACTGGGCAGGCACACCACAGACGGCAGTAAGCCCACCTGCGAACTGGAGATATTGATGCCATTCACAGGGAGGAACAAGACAAAACAAAAACATCAAATACCCAATGGGGAAGAAGGCTGCATGTGAATACTCCAGGCAGACACAGGATGTCACAGAAAAAGTAGCAAGTGCTCCATTTTCAAAAAGGAGCAAGAATGGAGTAACCCACTTGTTCAGGGACTGATACCCTTGTGCCCATATCTGGGCCCTCTCTCTTATTTAGGTCCCTTGCCCTGGCCTTTCAGAGAAGTCAATGAAGTGTGTTGTTGCTCTGGGCTCTGGCTAGTTAACCCCACAGCTTTTGAGTCGATGTGAATTTTGCTAACTGTGCGCCTCATAACAATCCCATTGGGAAAAAAATAAAGAATGCTTTTTCTTGATTGTGGCAGTTGGTTCTAGCTTATTCATTATAGTGACTTTTTTTCAACATTTTTAAACAGGAACAGGAAAGAAAAACAGTGCCAGGTCCAAAGCCCAAGGTAACTACACAGTAGGCTTCAGGAATTCGGCTGACTCTCGGCCAGCGGCTGGCACTGCAGATGGTCTCTGCCTGGTCCTTCTAGCCAATCCTTTACATCTGGGCCATTCACTCAGCTAGATTTGATCCCAAGGGGAAATGAAAATTGCACTTATCCTGTGGCTCCCTGGTGGCAGCTATTGCTTAGCTGCTATTTAGGATTATCTACAGACCCTGGAAACAGATCTAGAGGAGTGGGGTAAAACAGCTTATGTGAAGCAGTTTTTACACATTCAGAGAAATCAATGTACCGTTTGCCCAGTGAATGTGCTTTTTCTGTTTCTCTGCTTCGCTACCCAGCCTGGATTACCTCCCTTTACTCCTTACGGCAGTGGATCCTGCTCAGAGCACTTCCCATCTCATTTTGCCTTAATCTGGGGCTCACACAAATAGGATATGACCAAACCTCACTTGGGCTTCAAACTGATGTACATTTTAAGCCAAAAAGGTTGAAATCAAATAGCATGATGAGAGTGGCTGCTTTGGATTAACCTACCAGTGCTGCCTCCTCTCTAAGCATACGCATCTTATTTCCATAGTCAGCACTCAGCAGCTGTTATAAAGACATCCGTCTTCCCCAGTGAGGCCTTGTCTATTTGCTGCTTTGCTGAGATGGTAGCTTTAGATACAGGGGAGTTAGGTTATCCTCAACCTGATTCCAGTTTCTCTGGACTCTACTCTCAGGACAAGGTCAGAATCGATTAATCCTTACCCTAAGTGATAGATTCCATAAAAGAAAATTCTAGGCTTGAAAAATAGAAAGTATAAGGGTTAAGTTCCTGTTTTTGAAAGTGGGCCCACACTGGGCTGACGAAAGCAATCATACTATCAGCCGAGTTTGCTGCTGGTACAGTGATTTCCTGTGTCATATCTCTGATGACCCAGGACACATGGGCATGTGAAGTCCCATTTCCTCCTCCTGACAGCCCAGCTGGAGCCAGGGAACAAGGAGGCGCTGGGCTATATCACTCTACACAGGTCCATATTCTGGTGCCTTTGCCTTCCCAGTGCTGGGCTGGAAAAAATAGTCACTGTCTCCAAAATGGCTAGAAATCTGGGAACCAAGTCTTACAAATGGATTTCCTAAATGTATCAACTCCTCCATGGTCCCTGTCTCGCCCCACGCTTCCTGGGATCACATCCTGGATGCCGCTGATAATTAAGAACCCAATCCAAAGGCTGAGGGATAAATGATTTCTTTGGATTTACATTCTTCTATGAAACACAAATGCTGAATCAGTGAGTCAGTATATGAGAAAAGACCCTCTCATATGATACCATCTTTTATAAACACTAATTCTTTTTCCCAAGTCTGGATTTCGTGGAAGTCATACCACTCACAATTAAGCCTGTCTTCCATTTCTGCCATTTGAGGGTTGGTCTACTTCTAGCATGAATCAGGGGAAACAGATCCCACCAAAATTTATCCAACACCCCGAGTGTTTTATTTCAAACCCTTTGTCCCTTGTGATAAGAAAGAAAATTCTGCTGATTTGCTTCTGACAGTACCTGCTGTGGGAAAAATTATTATCAGATGTTCTCTGAAACATACTGTTTTTCATTTAGACCCAGAAGCTAGATATAAAATTTTAAAAAGAAGCGGGTCCATGGCTGTGCACAGCAGCGACCCACCTGGGCCTAGCCATCAGCTATGGGTGTCAAGGATGAAACTGCCGAAAAGGCCCAAGCAGGACATGGGAGAACAAAGGTAGTTCTTTCTACTGCATGATGGAGATGGATGACTTCACAGCACGCAGACACCTCACCACCCATGCTTCACCCCAGAAGTCACTTTTGCTGTCAGGCTAGCTGAGGCTTATGGGCCTCTCCTTGTGGCTCTTCATAGTCTTCCCAGGGCTTCAGCTGGGGGCCAGGGATCATCACCGTCTGAAAGAGCAGGAAGCTGAGTTATCTACCCTCCAAGCCCATGGCTCACTCACCCAGGAGAGATTCACCCTCGCCTCCATGCCCACCCCTAACAGGGTTCCCCTTCCCTGGTGTTGCATCACCCCCTCTCTCCACTAGGTGGAGCCCAACAGGACTGGCTTAGGATGCCACTAGTACTGCCTCAGATCTCTTAAACCTCAGAAGCTGCCTTACCTTAAGGATGGGCTGCTTAGGGGGTGCCCATGACGGTATGATCTTGCCATGCATTCTCCAGCTCCCATAGGGGTTTGTCAGGTGCTTCTCAAACACAACATACTCCAGGACATCCTTGGGCACATCTTCCTGTCCATACATTAATCTGCCAAACCGGTCATAGATGGCCAAAGTCTGCAAGAATGAGAGCAAATCTGGCCTGTTAGTCCTCAGTTTTTGTTTTGTTTTTGATTTTTGCCACACAACCATTATTGAAACAACCAAAACATTTTTTTTCTTTTTTTAAGCTGAGCCATCCTACCACCTGTTGGCAGCTCAGCGGCTGCTCAGCTCGGGCCGGGAATCGAACCACTGTTGCTCAGAGCTCAAACTCTTGAGCGAGCTCTTAACCAACTGAGCCACTCGGCCGGCCCTACAACCAAAACATTTTAATGGGTAAAAAATAAATTATCTCAGAATTCTGAATCTAGACTAACTGATCAACTATTGACACTTTACTCTTAGAGGGTTTTTTTTTTTACTGGGGAGGGGAGCAGGGGGAACGTCAAGACCAGGAAGAGTGGGAGAGAATTTCCTTGCACCTGTCTTAGTAGATCTTAGCAGGTACCCAATCTGAGAGTGAAGAACAGCTGGTGCCTCTACCTGCCGGGTATGCATGCGGACGGTGATCTGGCCATATATGTTGCCCTGGTTCAGCATACTTGAACAGCGAACCTGAACCACGTGGGGTGGCTCTAATGATTCTACGAAGCTCCAGCGGACAGTCTTATATTTGATGTCCCAGACCATGTCCTGAGGGCAGAAGAGAACAAGTTCTACTGAGTTTTCCCCTCCCTTTAGGGAAGCTGGTGCTTCCTTCCACACCTGCTCTCACTGCTTGCAATACTATAGCCAACGTACAACATTTCCCACCAAATACTTTCTTGTGCTTTCTTTCTCACCTCCCCAAGTTTTGATTAAGCTACTGCTCCAGCCCCCCTCACAACAACTCTCTTTTCATCTAAATCACAGCTCAAGACCAACCTATCTTCTTGAGGATCCTTCCCCAAATCAATGAAAACTACACTCCAAACTGCCAGCTTAACTAATACACTATTATCCCTCCCATATACTTTCAAAATCTGCTAATTATTGTATGTATTTCTGCAGACTGCATATATGGTGCTCCTCCCCACCTTTTGGCAGAGAAGGGTGGGATTTTACAGGGATGTAAAGGTTAAATTGCTTAGATTAGCTATACGTGTCCTTAGGGAGATGAGGCCAAATTGATAGAAACTGAAGTTCTTCTTGAACCACAAAGTTCCCATTCTTGGGGGTCTCCGGAAGTACCACACAATGTAAGCCTCAGGAATGCTTCTTAAATCCGTTATTACCATGTAGGTACGTGTAGGCTGGCCTAATGTGCCCATGCCCTGACCTCAGGACCCTGAGGTTTCAGTACGCTTGCTGAGGGACTTCCTCTTCCCTCATTTGCATGGCCCTTACTGGAATCCAACTCATTATCATTCAGCCAAAAACAATGGAACTTCAGCTTTTTCCTTAAACTTCCTGTACTTGCAAGACAGATCCTTCTTAAGAAAACCAGAGGTGATACCTAGAATATACCCATTCAGCATCCCATGTTTCTAAGGATGAGAACCTACCGGAAAACAGTTTTCAGTTGCCAAGGTATGAAGTCGGTCATGGTCTGAGCTAAAAAAGAAAGATATATATCACTGACTCCTGCTTTTATGATAGGATACCCTGAGAGTTGAAAATGGCCCTGAAAATGGAAAATAATTAAATTCATTTTTACTAACAGTTTGTGTACTCCTACTATACACCAGGTAATATGCTAAGCCCTGAGGACACGAAGATGAACAACAACATGATTTACCAGAGAATCCTGAGCTCCGTAGCAAAGTTAGGTTTGAATCTCAGGAGCAGAAAGAAATTTCTCTGAAATTACTATACATCCTTAAGATGGGCAAGAGACCCTCACTGGGACATGGGGATTGGTTTTTGCTCTAAGCTGCAACAGGGAACAAAATCCAACACAAATAACAATCAAAAGCTCATCTCTCCTCTTACCTCAGACACATCACCACTACCAGCTGGCTTGGCCTTGTATCTTACACTGTCATCTTTGAACCCAAACAAAAGATAATGATCTATCTTTTCTGGTCCATCCCCCCCTCCCCCCATGCCCATCTTTGTTACTGCCATAGTGACCTATTCATGCTGATTCTATGCAGTAAGAGTAAGAAAACAGACAGCAAACCCCTGC